AAGAGTACTGATAAATTTTACTCCCCTAAAATGAAAAACTCTAAAGACACACATACACACACACACACACACACACACACACACCCCAAAAAAAGAGAAAAAGACAAGCCATAGACCACAGCAATGCACAACTGACAGTGGGTTAACAACCAAGGAAGGAAATGAAGGACTCCAACAAATCAACAAGAAAAAGAAATGATCCTTAGAGAAATGACACACAGTTTATAAAGCCATATGAGAAAATGCCCGCTTCTATGGGAAATGCAAATTAAAACTTGCAATGATATACCAGTGATGGCAAATCACTGACAAAACTATAAACACCTGACAAGAAGTCCACTGTGTGGAGGGGTCCACATAGCACTCTGGAGAACACATTACCACATCCAGCTGCAATGCCCCCGGACTCCACTTGGGAACTGATCCCCAGAGAGATCTTTAGGGTCAGACCGCAGGACACTATTGGCAACATCATTTCTACTAATAGTAGATTACAGTACATTCCATTAACAGATAAATGTAAATTACAGTACATTCCCATTAACTCATCCCATTAACAGATAAATGTAAATTACAGTACATTCACAAAACAGAATTCTATGCAGCCTGGAAAATACAGGAAGTAGAGCTGTATGTATCAGCAAGGATGAATGCCAAGAATGACACTGAGCAAAAAAACCAAGTTGAAAATACGCACAGTATGTTATGTGTGCCATATTACGTAATCTATATAAAGCTGGAAACAGGAAAAATACATAGGAGCTACGAACATCAACTCAGACAGTGCACACTCTGGTATGGAGGGGCACAGGCATCGGTGTTTCTCTTTCTACTTTAAAAACAATGGACATAAAAGCTTGCTGAAACACTAACTCTCAGGAAAGCTCTATGGTAGTTGAGAGGCCTTTCTTTAGATTCTCTACACTTCTCCAAAGAGTTGAAGTGTTTTGTAATATAATTTCTTTATTTAAAAAATCAGATAACAGATCTAAAAAAGAAAATAATTCAAATACTTACCTAACATGCATAAGGAATAGAGCTGTCAAAGACAAGACACTCAGGTAAGTTGAAATTGCAGAAAATAAATTTTTCAAATTTTCGAAGTTTTTCAAATTTAAAAAATTCATTTTTTTCAGATTTAAAAGACATCCTGTATTTTTATTTGCTAAATTTGATCACCCTAACAAGACATGTACTAAGGTTTGTTTAAAGAACAACTGGAAAAAAACCCCAAAAATTTGAACCACAGGAGAATGCTTCTGTGGGCATTCACCCTACTCCAGGACATCACACACCAGTGAGGAGATCAGTTAAAAGAGGCATAAGATCTAGACACATCAATCTGGAAAGACCTAAATGACATGTGTATCATTCATAAAAACAAAGTAAGAGCTTACTGCATGATCTACTTTATGTTAGAAATACAGATTACAATGATATGTTCCTGTAAGTCATTTATATGTATAAACGCTGAGAAAAATGTTCAGAACAACAGTGGAAAACTGGTAACAACAGCAACAGCTGTATGGTCAGGGGCACTAGAGCTGTGGCTATATTCTTTTAAATAAGAAGATATTCTTGTATTCCTTTTAAAAATCAGAAGTAATTTTTTTGTGGGGGAGGGGGATAAAAAGAACAAAACAAGTCTAGGATACTTCCAGGTCATCCACACTGTGGGATTAGAGAAGAAAGGAGACATTTTTACTCTAGTTTGGGTGATGCTATAGGATTTAGATTCTTTGAAAGGAGCTTTTATAGTGTTTTAAAAGCTATGTGTTTTTAAGGCCAGGTTCCCTGGCCCTTCCTTGGCCGTATGACCCTGGAGTGAGAGGTAACTCACTCCACTGTGGACACTGAGGCTGCTGAGCAGTGGACAGAGCATCAAAGAAGAGATACTTAGAATTTGATGCCAGTCTAAGACGGTCTCATTGCAAAGCTCCTCTTTGGATGGAATCTGGGCTAACAACCTATGCCCCATAATCCCAATCCTCCCATCCCTGGGCCAAGCAAGCAGAGACCATGCAGTTTAAAACATGCACAGATGTGATTCAAGTTCTTGCTTCACTTAGAAGTAGCTGTGTGCCCTTGGGTGCCTTTCGTAATCTGTCTGAGCCTCAGCTTCTGTCTCTATAGATGGAGGCAACAGATTCTATATAATAACTAATAGAACAAGGCAAATGAAGTGCTTTAGCCAGCATCTACACACAGCGATCATGAAACCATGGTAAGCAGTGGTGTTGTTTGATCACAAGCACTGCTCCCTTTTCTACTCAGGTAGAGCCCTTCCTGCACACACAGAGTCACTCTGGGCCACTCATGCTCACTGGCCAGGCCACCAGTCTTTCCTGTTCCTCAGCAAACGTTTACAAAGCACTCATAATGTGCCTGTGAGCACATAAAGATCCAAGTTCTGTCCTTCCCTCAGGAGACAGCTAACAGGTAAGTTGGATCAGCAGTAAAGGAACCATCCAAAGAGCTACATGTTAAGGTAGGAGAGCTGGCTGTGAGCTCAGCTCAGCACACCTGCTGTGTGAGCTCCAGAAGAGCCTGGGCTCTCTGAGCATCTGCTTTCGTATCTGTGAGGTAAGATTGTAACTTCACTGGGCCACGAGATGAATTAACACTGTCCATGGAAGCGGCAGTACCAGCAGAATTAGCTCAGCACTCTCAGGGAGCAGGAAGCCTGGGAGAGTTCCAGGGATGGGAAGGCAGTCAGGGTGGGGAGTAAAGGGGATGGTGCGGGGCAGCTTTAGGTAGGATGCACCATAGAGCATCAACAGGCAGGCGGGCAAGGCACAGTCAGCCAGAGAACATTCAGGAAAGGCAGGGGCAGGATGGGAGGTGAGTGGGCTGGGCTGTGGCTGTGTACAGAAGAGGGGCCCCCCTGGCCAACAGGTCATAGAGGCAGCAGGGCAAGTGCTGAGTTCAGACTGCCCTGTCTTAGGGAGCAGAAAGGAGAAGAGGGTGAATGGCTGGAGAACTCTAGGCAGGGGTACTAAAGGAGGAAACTTGGAGGGGAGGAACCCCAGCCCTCCTGGAAGAGGCTTCTACTGAGACAGAGGGAGGCTCCCACCTGGATGGAGGCAGACCCGGAGGAGGGTGGGGCAAAAGAAACTGCCCAAAGTGGGGCAGCGAGGAGGGGCTGAGAGGAGCACCGGGAAACCTCTGGGCTCTGCAGAGGGAGAGTTCAAAGAGGGGCAGCAGTGGGGTGGGCTGTTTTGGGAGACTGAGGTGTCCACCAGCTCATGGGCTTGTCTAGCAGCAGGTGGGAGTGTGGGCCTGGGGCTGGCTGGAGAGAGGGCAGGCTGGCTGAGTGAGGACTCAACTTGCACTGCAGGCCTCACAGGGACAGGCAGAGAAGAGCACGGGGCCTAGGAGCTGTGCTGTGCAGTGTTGTGCCCACTGAGGGAAAGTACCATGGAAGGAGAGGTGGGAGGAGCAGAGCAGAAAACAGGAAATCAGACTAAAGGAATAAGAGTAGTCCAAGAGAGGACTGCAGAAGAACATGGGATGACCTAAGGAAACGCTGCTACAATACAATAAGAAAACAAAGCACAATAATAAGCAGGTTTTTAAATGATATACACAGCAGAATCCCACTTTTTGCTAAGACATACACACACACACAAGAAAAACCAAAAGGGTATTATGGCAAAATGTTAGTGTCAGCTTTCATCTGAATAGCAGGGTCACGGGTCACTTTTACTTTCTTCCTCATGAGTTTTTGTTTTGTTCTAATCTTTGTAACAGTCTACCATGAACACGTATTTGTTCTACATTCAGAAGATGAGTGCAGTAAGTGAGGAAGAAGCTGGTCACAGTTGTGAAGGTAAGAAGTGGGGAAGAACAGGATCGGGAGGAAGCTCTGAGTGAGACAACTAGGGAAGGGGGCAGAGATGATAGAGAAGGATATGGAGGTGAACAACCTGGGGAAGGGTGCACAGAGAGACCATCCAGTCCTCTGCCTGCCCAGCAGAGTGAACAGCAGCATGTTTTCATGACAAGGAGAGATTAGAAAAGGGAGAGACTGACAAGACAGGAGAGGGATTTAGCAGTGAGATCACAGGTAGGACAAAATGGACAGAACTCAACTTGGGGACATATCTGGAGGAAAGGGCCAGCAGAGGGCCTCTGCTCTCTGCTGGCCCTTTCCTCACTTGGCTCTTCTGCCTGTGAGTTCTACACAGGCAGTGACTTCATCAGACTTGTTCACCATGTCGTTCTCAGAACTTAACATAGGGCCTGCACGTGGTAGGGACTTAATGCACAATTGTTCATAAAAGAATGCAGCCCTCTCTAGAGTTGACGAAATTGCCCTCTGAACCCAGGAGGGCAGTCATAAAAAGGAGCACACGTTGACCAGCGAGTCTACAGAAACACTGTTACAAACCACCACATGCTGCTCAAAGTTCCTGAAACCCTAGACCTCCAAGAGCCATCTTAAGAACAAGAAGGAAGCTCTTGTATCAGCCAAATCAACTGACCTCTATGTATGCCCAACCAGAAGACACCAGTCCTGGATGCAACTCAAGAAGGCTATGAAAGGAAGAGTGCCTGCATTGCCAGCGTGAAGCCCTGAGTTCAAACCCCAGTCTCACTGAAGAAGAGGAAGAGGAGGAGGAGGAAGAGGAGGAGGAGGAAGAGGGGGAGAGAGGAAGAGGGGGAGAGAGGAAGACGAGGAGAGAGGAAGAGGAGGAGGAGGGGGAGGAGGAGGAGGGAGGAGGAGGAGGGGGAGGGGAGAGGGGAGGAGGGGAGGGGAGGAGGGAGGGAGGAGGGGTGGAGGAAGGGGGGGAGGAGGAAGGGGGGGAGAAGATGAAATTGAGACTAGGATGAGGAGACAACATCTCTGACAAACAGCTCTGCATCTGCTCTTGCCAGGGTCCTAGCAGGATGTGGTTAAGAAAACAGAGAAACTAGTGATCCTTGGATCACCCATAAAACCAAGCAGCATCATATGACCTCTCCAGACCTTGGGAAAAGATGCTGGCCCACATACTCACAGAGACCTCCTCTCCCATGGTGTGGGCTTCACCTCTGCCCAGCTCTTTGCATAGACCATTCGCAGAGCTGGAGCCAATCAACTGGTACTTGGCTTCTTGCTGGTTTGAACAAAAGGGTCCCAGAAGAGATGCAGCAGGACAAGGAGGGCAGGAGGAGTTAAATGATAGGGTTTAAGAGCAGCTGAACTGCTGCTCTTCATGAGTCATGCTCAATGACAGGGGACAAGAAAGCAGAGATGAACTGGCCCACGTTGCTAAGTCATTCTCCTTATTTACTCTATTACTCTGCTCTCATACCACATTGCCAGCTGTAATTGCATTTCAATTCATGTTTAACACAAACATAACTTAGCTGGATGTTGGCATCCAATATCCCAGATGCAGAAAGGCAAAACAGAAAGAGCCAGCTAATTCAATTCAGTAAGTGTTCTCCTCGTGCCTGGTGGAGTCCAATGCACCCAGGCACTGCACTGAGATGCACGTCACCCACTGCTGCAAAAAGAAAGGTAAGAACTCAATGGAGGAAAGCAAAGATGCTATCAGAACAGAATCAGGTTAGAACTCCAAGGGAAGAGGAATGGTGTGTGTGTGTGTGTGTGTGTGTGTGTGCACATGCAAAAGTACAGAGGCACAAATGGCAAAGCACCTCAGAGTAACTATGCAAAGGGACTGAGAGAGGGCTATGCAGGTGGGGGACAAGCCTTAGACATTGGTGAAGTCCATCCACTCGACAAATGCTTACTGAGTGCTACTGAGGTGCTAGACTTTCACTGGGAAGTTAAATAATGAATTGGCCTTCAAATCTGAAAACAAAGAGCTGGAGCACACAGCTCTAAGCCAGGGGCCACCTAGTCCTATAGAACTCTTCTGCTGGTGGTCATTCAGGAGAGATTGCAGAAGGTTAGAATGACACAGGATGGTGCCCTGGGAGCCCATTCAATAGGCCTTAACAACGGGTAGTGGAGAGTGGCAAGAGTGGAGATTTGTCCAGGCAATAGTCAGCCCCCTTCAGCAATTCCCCTCTCACCTGCCCCTCCCTATAAACATTTGTAGGAATTTGTAGTCACAGACTACATCATGTAAACCTTACAACATGTCATCTAAAACTATGATCCTGGAACAGCCAGGAAACAAGGCAGGGAATTAGAAATGGTAAGAAAAGTCAATGGATAAAAAAGATATCTATTTTTTTTAATTAGTTTTCCTCTATGCAAAATGTGTAAGGCATAACCAATAGGCATTTAAAGAGGATCATAGGGAAACAGTGCTGCTTGCTGCAGCAATGCCAATTGTCAAGGTCATATTTGCTCCCAAAAACAAAGTAAGAAGATTCTCATCTTTTCCAAAGCTCTGAGACAGCTGATATAATGTGGGAATTACAGCTTCTTGGAAATTGGAGAAATGTAACCTAAAAACAATTTGGAAATAGTTCTCTAATGATATATCCAATTTCCTTCTCGAATACAGGCTTGGTACAGGATCTCCTCTAAGGAGCAGCAGGAACTGTGTAATACATCAAAATTTTCACTTTAGTAACATATGTTTACACATAAAAGCTATACGTGATCTTCCCTTTCAATTTTCAAATCTTCTTATCCTCTTACTTTTCTTTCTCAATCTAAATTTTGCTTATCTTATTTTATTTCCTTTTACTATCCGACTTATCAGTTTATCTATTATGCTTTTTTAATGACTCAATTCTCAATAATTCCCTCCTCTTCCTTTACTTTTAATTTCTGATTTTATCATTGTTTTTTTCTGTATTTTTTTACTAGCTACTTAAACTATGAGACAATATCAAGGGGTATAATATTGGTACCCCAGTAAAGAGGGAGATGAAAGAGAAATACTTAACTAATGACAAGAAATTTTCCAAATTTGATGACAGCTATAAATCTACAAATTAAAAAACATGAATCATCAAGCAGAATAAACATTAAGAAAATCATACCAAAGCATACTGTAACCAAAATGCTTAAAATCAGTGATAGAGAAAAACCTCAAAAGCAACCTGAGAAAACAGACCACGTGCACCCAGGAATGACAGCGCACTTTTCATAGGAAACAATGCAAGCTGTAAGATAATGGAGCAATGCCTTTAAAGTAGGAAAGACAGTGACAACTAAGGAATCTGGACCAGGGGAAATATCTTTCAGAAGCAAACATGAAATGGAGACTTTTTTCAGGCACACAAAATCTGAGAGACTACAATACCATCAATACAAGAAATGTTCAAAAAAGTTCTTCTGAAAGAAAATTATATCTGATAAAAATGTGGATCTATGCAAAGCAATGAAGAGCACCAGAAGTGCTATTATAAGGATAATTATAAAAGATAATTTTATTATTTCTATACTCTTTTTGTAAGATAATAAAATTTAAAGCAAAAATGTAGCAATGTATTGTGGAATTTATGACACACACAGAAGAAAAATGTATGACATAATAGCACAAAGGCCAGGAGGGAAGAAATAAATGTTATGCTGTTCTTATACTATACATGAATGAAGTGGTGTATTACTTAAAGGTAGACTGTACTAAATTGAAGATATACAGTAAGTCTATCTTGTCCATGGATTTATTACATGTGGTTTCTATGAAGCACAGCCAAAAAAAAAATTCCCATGCATCCATTAATCAGCTCAGTTGATGCAGAGAAGCTCTTATCAGGCTTGCACTATTGTCAGTTGTGTTTAAACTTTATGGATCCTGAGCATTCATAGTTTTCCTCAACAGGGATCTCCTGGGAGCCAAATACCCATGATACCAAGGGTCTACTGTATGGCGTAAAGTCAAAGTAACTACTAAGAAACAACAAAAAGAAAAAGAAGTTGATCTGGTGAGCTAATAAAGGAAATAAAATGGGATAAAAATAACCAGAAAGATGTTGGTAGAGAGATACTGGACATGCAGCTCAGTGGCAGAGCACTTGCCTAGCATATAGGAGGCCTTGGGTTTGATCCCCAGTACTGCAAAAAAAAAAAAAAAAAGCTGAGAAAACAGGGAAAAGGGAACTAAACACAAGTAGAAAGAAAATACAGCAGAAAACAAATAGTAAGATTGTTAGAGTGAAATACAAACACATCAACAACCACTTTGAATGTAAATGGCTTAAACATACCAACTAAAGAAAGAAACTGTCCAACTGAACAGTAAGGTGTCTAAGAAAACCACTTTAAATGCAAAGACACAGATGGACTCTAAGCAAGACAATGGAAAAAATTATACCAACACTAATCAAGAGAAAACTATAATGACTATAATAATATATTATAAACTAGATTTTAGAACAAAAAATATAGGCAGAGAGTTACTTAATAATGATAAAGGGATAAATTAATGAATAGTGTATACCACTCCTAAATGTGTATGTACCTAATAACTGAGCTTCAAAATACAGAAAACAAAAAACAATAAGACTGAAAGGAGAAATATACCAGTCCACAGTTATAGTCAAAGATTTCGGTTTTATCTCCCAATAACTGAAAGAACAAGTGGAGAGAATGTCAGTAGTAATACAGAAGACATGAACAATGATATCCATCAACTTGACCTTGCTGACATTTGTAGAACATTCAACTACAAAAACACAGAGTAAATATTCTTTTCAAGTGTACTGGAGCATTTACCAAGACAGATCACAGTTTAATCTGGAGTCAATGAACCACAACCTGTAGACCAAATCTAGCCTGCAGCCTGTTTGTGTATAGCCTATGAATTAAGTTGGTTTTTATACTCCTTAAGAGTTAAAAACATAATAATTTTAATAGAAATTATGTGTGGTTCATAAAATTAAAATATTTACTATTCATGTTCTCTGCCCACACAGAATTAAATTGTCAATAATGGAAACAAATCTAGAAAATTCCCAAGTAGAGGAAAACAAAAGAGCACACATTGAAATAATCATGGATCAAAGGAAAAATCAAAAAGGAAATTAGACAGGGTTGTGAATGTGATTAAAATGTGATAAAACTGAGGTGAGGCAAAATGTGAGGAACACAGCTAGTGCAGTCAGAAGAAAGTGCACAGTGCTAAATGCTGCATTAAAAAAGAAAGGTTGCAAATCAGCAGCTAAAACTTTCACCTTAAAAACTAGAATACTAAACCTAAAGAAAGTAGAAGAAGGAAATCATACAAAGAAAACAATAATGTAGGAAACAGAAAAACTAGAGAAAAGTAAACCCAAAAGCTGGTCCTTTGAAAAGATCAGTAAAATCAATAAAACTCCACGCAGCATGAGGAGGAATTAGAGTGATGGCACCAACTACTATTATTGGGAATTAAAGTTAAATGACAAAAGGGACATTATGAACAACTATATGCCCAAGAATTGGAAAACCGCATTAAATTAAATGGAGACTTTCTTGACAGACACATATTACCAAGATCCATTCATGAATAGATTACCTAGATACCCTGTATCTATTTTAAAAAATCAAACGGTGTTACAAACATTTCCTTTGTTTCTCCCATTTCCTTTACTTTGTGTTCACAGTGCCGGGGACTGCACCCAGAGACTCACGCCACCGAGCAAGTGGTCTACTGCTGACCAACACCCCAGCCTATTACAGCCCTTTCCACTTCCAGACCCAGAGTTTCACTGGTGAATCCTACAAATACTTAAAGCAGAAATAATAGTGATTTTTTTATTAAATCTTTCAGAAAACAGGTAAGATACCCTTCTCAACTCATTATGTGAGTCTAGTATGACCACAATACCCAAACCAGACAAAGCCATTGTAAGAACAGAAAACCAAGACCAATCAATATTTTTCATGAATATACATAACTTTTCTTTTTTCTTTCTTTTTTGTGGTGCTGAAGATCAAAACCAGGGCTTCAGGTAGACTAGGCAAGTGCTCTACCACTGAACTACATCCCTAAAGTAACATTTCTTAACAAAATTCTAGTGAATTGAATTGAACAATGTATAAAAAGGACAATATATTATGTTCAAATGGGATTTATTCCAGAAATGCAAGTTTGGTTTAACATTCAAATATTAACCAGTCTATTTCATCACATTAAAGGTTAAAAACAAAAACCATTTGATCACCTCAGTAGTGGCAGATAAAACATTGACAAAAATTCAACCACTTCGAGTGTATGAGCACAATA